TATTCAAGGGTATCTAGCCTTTGTTTTTATCATGCTTCTCAAAATTCTTCCAGCATGTGCCTATTGCACAATTTCAAAGCCACTTCCACGGGTTTATTTCTTACAGCACCTCCCACTTCCATTTATCAAAACCTGTGTTAGTTTCCTATTGCTGCTGTAGCAACTCACCACAAACTTAGTGGCTTAAATCAACACCAATTCATTATCTCACACCTCTGGAGGTCAGAAGTCCAAACGGAATCTTACTGGACTAACATCAAGGTGTCAGCTGTGCCGTATTCCTTCTGGACACAATGAATGAAAATCTGCTTTCTTACATTTTCCAAATTCTGGAGACTGCCTACATTCCTTTGCTCGTGGCCCACTTTTATCTTCAAAGCCAGCAATGTCCAGGTCTAGTCATTCTTCTTTGCCTCACTCTGACACTGGCTATTCTAGCTTCTACTTTCTCATTTAAAGGACCTTTGTGATTACACAAGGCCTACCTAGATCATCCAAGAAAATTTCCTTATCTTAAGAGCAACTGATTTGCAACCTTAATTCCCCCTTGACAAGTAACACAACATATAATCAGGTTCCTAGGATATGAACATCTCTGAGGGACTATTATTAACCCTGCCACAATATATATTGCATAATGATAAACTTTCAATTCTTCTGTATAAATATAATGTACCATGTAACCTGATCCATGCTATCTTCATCTGCTTCATTTCATATCACAATGCTTAGGTTTCCACCACTCTGGGTAAATACACTATGCTCATTTGAGGAAAAGATCTTTGCTCATGCTATTTCCTTTGCCCCTGTTAGTCCTTCTTTCTGAATTCCCACAGCTCCTCTTCCCCAGACTACTCTTAGGTATCCTTTGGCTATCAGCTTAAGTGATTCTTCTTCAAAGAGCTTCCCTGATCCTGCAACTCCCTAAACAAGATGTAGATTCTCTTACATCCTTAGTTTTTCTTCATATCATTTATCTTAATAGTGATTAAATTATTATCTGTGTAATTGTTTGTTTAATGACTACTTTGAAGGCATTATGAAAGTTCTAACTTCATTTGTTATATGCCTAAAACCTAGCAGAACAGTAACTGCACAAAAAATTCTTCATAACAACATTAATTTTATAATTGAGGATACTGAAGCTCATAGAAATTAACTTTATGACAGAAACACAAATAATGAAATTCCACTTTTCTATCTGGTTTTTAAGCCTGTCTCTCAGCTACTGTGCTATTCTATTCTAATGGGGCACCAATGATCACTGTAAGTCCACAGATACTCTCTGATCTTCACTGAAGGTCAAATATTCACTGCCACTCACTCTCCTTATGCAGTTGCTACTGCCTCATCAAGCCAATGACCCACCACCAAATGTCCAATTTCATTCTTATTTTCAAATACTGTCATAAGGATAGACTTGGGAATTCTTTTTTCCTTTAAAATATTAAACTTCTTTAAAAATAATTACTAAAAAATTTATTTTTCAAATTACCAAATCAGGGGGGAAATATGCTTTTATCTTATCTACTTCTCTTGTGGAGATTAACAGTATTATAAAAATATGTGGACACCCCAGAAGAAATTTTATTAAACCAAAGAGGAAATGATCTAGTTTGGGAACACAGCCAGGGCAAATATTAAAACCAAAGATCTAAAAGTCATGCTAGAAAGTCCTAGAACTATGCTTCTGTATACTCTTATTCTTGGTCTCTTGCGCACAAAGAGGAAAGAACATTACTGTGATCATTATCTTGAAGAATACTCCCTTGACTTTAAACAAGGTTGGTAGAATTTTATTTATAATTGCACTAGCCCTCAACATTTCAGAATTCTTCAGCATCCAGTCCTCCATTTGCTAAAAACATATTTTTGTGGCTTAGTCAGATTATAGCTAGAAATACATGGAAGATCTTGATACAGATTCTAAACTGTTGCCTGTTCACTTGTTTCTTTTGAAAATTACTGTCATTGGCACAGATCAAAAGCCACATGTATCAATGGGTGATCTAAGTTAGTATCTTATTACTTCAATTTCCAAAACAATTATAAACCAAATATCAACAACAAAACAACTTTTGTATAAACATCAGATATAACTTTGAAACACATTTCTCTTTGTTTTGTTATAGATATAATAAGTATTATTATTAAATAATAGTAGATTCATATTGCATGATAATTTACAAAAAAGTATTTAGATTTGAAAAGTACCAAATTACAAGCATCTTAAAAACCAATAAAGAGAAGAATGAAGTACCAAAATATTAAATGAGCGAAAGTCATTGGGAAATTATATGCTGAGATTTCTTTAAAGACAAGAGACAAGAGACAATATGACTACAGAACAAAACTGATGGTTCGAAAATCTCTCCCATCTATTTAGAACATATCTGACAGCACAAACTAACTTATCTACTAGGTTTATGTGAAATCTGAGAGCATCTCACAGGTTTTATAATGTGTTACTATTCCTGCTGTGACATTTTACAAACTATACAAAAATATCTGCAGCACTCTCAATTCACTATAAAACAAATCCATAAATTCTTTAGAGGTTGAAAGCTTTTGTCTTTCTAAAACTCATGAAATCCCAGTGAAGCAACAGGAGTCAGAACTGACTTCTTAACAACAATTTCCACATTCTAATTGCAGAGAACAGAACTTTCCAAGGTAATACAGAACTATCAAGCAGGCTCAAACACCCACCTGCTGTCAATTTTAAATTCTCAATCTGAGAATAAGAGAAATCATTAGAGCATAATAAACACATTAGTAACATAAGCCTACTCAGAACACATGCATGTGTGCAAGCTCACTCACTCAGTCCTGTCAGACTCTTTGCAACCTCATGGCCTGTAGCCCGCCAGTCTCCTCTGTCTGTGGAATTTTCCAGGCAAATATACTGGAGTAGGTTGCCATTTCCCACTCCAGGATATCTTCCCGACCCGGGGATCAAACCCATAGCAGGCAGATCCTTTCCCACTGTGCTACCTGGAAAGCCCCCACCCAGTAGAAAAAACTTGCTGATTGATTGGCTATATGAAATAAGGTTGATAATTAGACAAGAAATAAAACTTTGCATCTCCAAATCTTTTAAAACCTTGCTTCTTGGGCATTTAATCTTTCTAAATATTGGTCTTGATACCAACACAGAAACAAAAGCACTTCATCAGTGTGCAGGGATACATAGTAACTATGGACAACTCATTCGCAACACAATGCCTATCTTGAACAACTGACAATTTAAATGAAAATGAATACTAAACATTTCTTTTTAAAATTAACCAGAAAAAGATATTGGTGCCTTCTATTTCCGAGAAATTGTCTAGCATTAGAACATAAAATGCGCAGTCCTGAAGGTTTCTATTTATGACAGCTCAGACACTCTTCAGAGAAAGCCAAGAAGAACACCAATATAATTTAAAGGACCTTTGGAAATTTTAAGGACACTTCAATGCCATTTATTTATTAGGAGCTTTAGCTTCCATAAAGCTTTCTGGTTACTCAGTTTGGCATTCCTGAAATAATTCTGTTTCCAGTTCACAGGGATTGAAAAATCAGAGATTGAAAAAAAACAAAAGGAGAAGGAAAAAAAAAAGGAGTTTAACCCTAATGACACCTTTATTCCACTCTGTGAATTTTGCTGACAGTCTAATCTTATTTCCTTTATTAGATTTGGTCATTGTTTTTAAAGGATTCAACATCAATGTCACACACACACACTCCCCACCAAAGGAAAAAAAAAAGACCTTTAAGTAAATAAAATATTATCACAAATATCTGTCATAATAAAAACATTTAGTGGGTTCACCATAATTAAAAGAGAAAATTACATTTAACATATTGTAAGAGTAAACTTGTTTTAAATAAATGCAACACAGGTCAGTTTCCTCCTTTTCCAACTGTAAGCTTTGGTGTTACTTTGGTGTTACAGTATGGTGACACATACTGGCTATATTGAGCAACAGCACCTCTATAGCAACACTCAAGTTTTATTTTATGTCTATTTCTTGGTGGTAATTTTGCTGAAGTTTTATTTTGCATATCCAACTCTTTATTAATTATGAGTTGCCGTTTTTTGCAGGCACAGCACCAAAATCACAAAAGAAAAATCTGGGAGGGGTCGGTCCATCACATATGTTAAACCAAAGTCCATTTCTCTTTTGCCTTCATCTGTACTTCACCATATGGGAAATTACTCTTTCTGTATGTGTTTAGCTACCTTTTAGAATACTCATGTTACAGCATCTCCCCAAAACCAAGAAACCTTCAAAAGTGTTGGTGAATCAACACTGAAGGCTTGATTCATTGGAGTTTGCTTCTGACTACCTAACACAGGTAAATTTAAATGCAGACACGTGCATAGCCAGTCCATTGACTTCAACAAAAACGTTTTAAAATCCTGAGTACACAATTAACGGTGAGAGAAAGAATACTGTAAGAGAATATTATTTCTTTTCTCTTGTTATCGATGGAGAAGAATCGTTATCTTTCAATGAGGAATCTTAAATATATTGTTTGTGACATACAGTGCTTAAAACTATTGAAATATTTAATTTTCCCACAAAGCTACCCACATAAAGAAATTCGTCCACAACTGAGCACCACTGTACCTGAAACTTTCAGAGAGCAATGTCTTAACTAAGATTAAGCTACCCTATTTCCTACCTAAATCAATTTCACCCAGATGAGGTGTTTGTTATAATTCATTGTTCCCCAGACTCCAGAATCAACCATCTGCCATCGGAGTTTCTGCACAGTAATTAAGGAACTATCCATTAGACTGGCAAGAGTACAAAGTAAGGAAGAGGAGGGGGCGGGAGAAGTGAGAAACAAGCCACTTAAAAAGAGGTGGAAGATACGTGTATTTCACACTGACCCCTCCTCGTCTCAGCTCAGATACTGTCATCCACGAGGCAGAACAGAAGTTAGGAGGAGCGGCCAGGCCAGCTCCTCCCGGGGTTATCCGCGCTGGGGACTAAGCAGGCTCCTCATACCTTGAAAGAGAAAGGCTTTCGTCCCATTGTGCAGACCGGGGACCTGGCGCACTCCGATCGTGGACTCCCCAAGTTCTAACTCCGTTAAGACGTCAATCTGCAGGGAGGGGTCCACACCAAGACCCCAAACTGGTGGGAGTGAGGAAGGGAGGAGAAAAGAAAGAAAAAGCTCCATCAGAATGCAAGCCTCTTCTTTCAGGGCAGCAAAGAACAGCGTCTTTGAGACAGTATTGGAAACTGACGAAGAGAGGCGACTCCCTCCGCCGCCGCCGCCGCGGAGAGCCTTACCTGAGACCAGCAGCCCAGCTTTAAATAGCGGAGCACCCAGTCCTATTTCCGTGACCTACTTTAAACCCTGCTCGGTGCAAAGTTCCCCTCGGCCCTCAGACCCTAGACCTGGGCTGTGACCCGCCCTGCGGTCTCCAAAACAAGCACAGGGACAAAAAAAAAAATCCAAATCCAAACCCACCCCCGACTCCAAGCTTCCCACTCCAGACCTACTTCAGGTGGAGGGAAAGCGAGGCGTCCCCAGGCAGCTGGGGCTGCCCCGAGGTGGGAGCCATCCCCTCTCCCGCCCCAGTTCTGCGGCCACTCACCTGCTCCGAGACCGAAGAGCAAACAGAACGTTCTCAGTAAGACCCGAGACTCCATGGTGCCGATCTGCTCAGTCCATCGTCTCCCTCTTTAAAAATAAAAATCGAAGAGGTTCTTGGAATCAAGCGGGAAAAAAAATATTGCTTGTCTTTCCTGCCGCTGGCTTGGATTTACTGATTAGTAAGATTAGTACGATTTGGTTGCTAAGAAAAAAAAGGGAGGACCCCCCAGGCACGTGAAGAACTTAGACCCTCCAATGCGCACATCATTCCCACACGCAGAGCCCAGGCGGCGGGCGCGGGTTGGGACGGGGCCCGGAGGGAGGGGTCGGCCTCGCCGGGGGCTGCTCTGCCGGGAAATTAGCTCTTGGGCCGAATCAAAGCGACCGAAGGAGCACACTCCCGGAGGAAAGGAGGCCGCCCCAAGAAAGCCGGGTCTGGGGCGGCCCCGCACCCGCCCGTCTTCCCCGCCGCCCGAACCTGTTGTAAAGGCAGAGACAATGGAGAGAGCGCCGGGAGACGCGCGGAGAGACTGCTCCTCGGCGAGGGAGGGGCGGGTTGGGGAGGCGGGGAGAGGAGGAGAAGGGAGGGAGTCCGAGGGCGAGGCCCGGCGCCCCGCGTTCCTCTCCCACGCGGGCTTCTCGGTCCCCAATCCCCGTCCAGCGGACCCCGGAGCCGCGACAGCCTCCGCCGCGTCCTCCCTCTCTCGCCGATCCCGGCTACGCTAAGCTCCTTCGGGATCGAAAGATCTTATTTCAAGGTGCTCAGTTGATGGGCGGTCTTTGCTCTCACCCCTCAATTTTGGGCGCGTGTCTAGAAAGACAGACGGGGAAAGAGAAAGGACCACCCAACTGCAGAAGGCGAGGCTAGCTGGAGACGCGCTCGCCCGCCCTTTGGGCAAAGGAGGGAAGCGCAGCCCCGCGGACTAGCGAAGGGAATCCCTCTCGGAGGTTTGCGGAGGAAGACTTCTAAGGCAGCTGGACTCCGGCAGTGGGGCTGGAAGTAGGGAGGAACGGGCGGAGACTGGTGGCGAGCCTGGGAAGCCCTGGGAGCTCCGGAGGAGAGGTTCCCTGCCCGGGGCGGGGCGCTGGAGAGCTTCCCCGCGCGGAGAGAGCAGGGGAGAGCTTAGCCGGGAACTGCTGGACAGCTCGGGGACCTGGCGCGCCCCCTGCCAAACACAGCGCCCAGCCGGGCTCCGGTTCTCCAGGACAAGCACAGGGCATGAGGCACGGGCAGCAAAGCCAGGGTGCTTGCCTATGCCAAAAAGAGAAAAATGATAGATCAATAGATAGATAGAGGTTCCTTTAAATTTTGAAGTAAATTTTGAATAATGACATTGAAGTCCCATACTGAGGAAGTTGCAAAAGCGATTAAAATGTTAATCTATGCAAAGGTCAATTGAGTTTCTTCATTTTTCCATCCAAACAAGTAGACTCTGAGTTCTCGAAAGGAGCCTACACAGTTAGTTACCAAAATACCTACTGGGTAGAGTCTGAGGTTTCAGCAGGGCAATATATACTCTATTATACTATAACAGGAGGAGGGCACAGCAAGCCACTGCAATATTCTTGCCTGGAGAATTCTATGGACAGAAGAGCCTGGTGGGTTACAGTCCGTGGGGTCGCACAGAGTTGGACGTGACTGAAGCAACTTAGTAGCATACTATAACAGGATGAGTGGGACATATTTAGCTCTGTCCTTGGAATTTTTAAGGGAAAAATAACAGAATCTGGAATTTTTCCAAAATAAGTTTAAATGATCTTTCCTTATCAGTTTTTTCTATTTGATTCTATTTCTAATTTTGTAAACTTTTGAGAAGTAGATCTGCACTTAAATGTGATGAAGTATTGCTTTATGTAACTTCACAAACTTGCAAAACTACACAAAATGAAATTAATGTAACTGAATTGAATTAATTCAAAGGAAATTATTCATCAGGAAATTAAACATTTTTCTATAGCAGTACAACCAAAGTAATGAATTTTAACAAGTATTTACAAAAGTGACATTAAAAACTGAAAGATAAAATCAGAGGAAAAAATAAATATACATATACAGACATATTTAGAGGAACCAGAGATCAAATTGCCAACATCTGCTGGATCATCAAAAAAGCAAGAGAGTTCCAGAAAAACATCTATTTCTGCTTTATTGACTATGCCAAAGCCTTTGACTGTGTGGATCACAGTAAACTGTGAAAAATTCTGAAGGAGATGGGAATACCAGACCACCTGACCTGCCTCTTGAGAAACCTGTAAGCAGGTCAGGAAGCAACAGTTAGAACTGGACATGGAACAACAGACTGGTTCCAAACAGGAAAAGGAGTGCCTCAAGGCTGTATATTGTCACCCTGCTATTTTAACTTATATGCAGAGTACATCATGAGAAACACAGGGCTGGAAGAAGCACAAGCTGGAATCAAGATTGCTGGGAGAAATATCAATAACCTCAGATATGCAGATGACACTACCAATTATGGCAGAAAGTGAAGAAGAACTAAAAAAACCTCTTGATGAAAGTGAAACAGGAGAGTGAAAAAGTTGGGTTAAAGCTCAACATTCAGAAAATTAAGATCATGGCATCTGGTCCCATCACTTCATGGCAAATAGACAGGGAAACAGTGGAAAAGAGTGGCTGATTTTAATTTTCTGGGCTCCATAGTCACTGCAGATGGTGATTGCAGCCATGAAATTAAAAGACGCTTACTCCTTGGAAGGAAAGTTATGACCAACCTAGACAGCATATTAAAAAGCAGAGACATTACTTTGTCAACAAAGGTCCGTCTAGTCAAGGCTATGGTTTTCCCAGCAGCCATGTATGGATGTGAGAGTTGGACTATAAAGAAAGCTGAGCACCAAAAAATTGATGCTTTTAAACTGTGGTGTTGGAGAAGACTCTTGGGAGTCCTTTGGACTGCAAGGAGATCCAACCAGTCCATCCTCAAGCAGATCAGTCCTGGGTGTTCATTGGAAGGACTGATGCTGAAACTGAAACTCCAATACTTTGGCCACCTGATGCGGATAGCTGACTCATTTGAAAAGACCCTGATGCTGGGAAAGATTGAGGGCAGGAGGAGAAGGGGATGACAGAAGATGAGATGGTTGGATGGCATCACCGACTCAATGGACATAGGTTTGGGTAGATTCCGGCAGTTGGTTATGGACAGGGAGGCCTGGAGTGCTGCAGTTCATGGGGTCACAAAGAGTCAGACATGACTGAGCAACTGAACTAAACTGAACACACACACAAAGGAACACAATATTGCCAATACCTTGATTTTAGCCCAGTGAAATCCATTTTAGACTTCTAAACTACAGAAATGTAAGATACTAAATTTCTGTTGCTTTAATCACTAAATTTGTGGTGATTTGTTTCAGCATTCAGAGAAAACTAATATAATACTAACCACATAAAGTTCAGTCACAAGGTCGCCTCTACAAACCCTGTATTCATAAATATATCTCAAAGCTAAATAGAATTTCCAAGAATTTTTTATTCACAGATGAACTTTAAATTAAAAAAGAAAGAAAAATTCCCAGATGCCAGGGAAAAACAGAGATAGCTGAAAACTGGCTGAAAAAGAACTGACTCAGGCAATGATTAGCAGAGGGTAGGACACAGGGTTTCAGATGCAGTATGGACCTCAAAACAATGGAGTAGAACTTTATCATCCACATGAGAACTAGAATCAATGAACTATGGCCAAAGCCAGAAGAGGTAAAGACGATATTGATCCTTTCAATAAGAATAGGGAGATTTGAAGTATTATATTGTACATATATATATATATACACACACACATATGTTGCATATCAACCCAAGAACAACAATGTTTGCCAGCTGCATGTGACTGTAGGTGGAAAACAAAGTATCTATCAGTTCAGTTCAGTACAGTTGCTCAGTCATGTCCGAACTTTTGTGACCCCATGGACTGCAGGATGCCAGACTTCCCTGTCCATCACCAACTCCCAGAGCTTGCTCAAACTCATGTCCATTGAGTCAGTGGTACTACCCAACCATCTCATCCTCTGTCATCCCCTTCTCCTCCTGCCTTCAATCTTTCCCAGCATCAGGGTCTTTTCAAACGAGTCAGTTCTTCGCATCAGGTGGCCAAAGTTACAGAGTTTCAGCTTCAGCATCAGTCCTTCCAATGAATATTCAGGACTGATTTCCTTCAGGATGGACTGGTTGGAGCTCCTCGCAGTTCCTGGAACTCTCAAGAGTCTTCTCTGACACAATTCAAAAGCATCAATTCTTTGGTGCTCAGCTTTCTTTATAGTCCAACTCTCACATCCATACATGACTATGAGAAAAACGATAGCTTTGACTAGACGAACCTTTGTCAGTAATGTCTCTGCTTTTTACCATGCTGTCTAGGTTTGTCATAGCTTTTCTTCCAAGGAGTAAGAATCTTTTAATTTCATGGCTACAGTTCAGGCAGTGGTTTTGGAGCCCAAGAAAGTAAAGTCTGTCACTGTTTCTGTTGTTTCCCCATCTATTTGCCATGAAGTGATGGGACTGGATGCCATGATCTTCATTTTTTGAATGTTGAGTTTTAAGCCAGCTTTCTCACTCTCCTCTTTCACATTCATTAAGAGGCTTTTTAGTTCCTCTTCACTTTCTGCCATAAGGGTGGTGTCATCTACATATCTGAGGTTATGGATATTTCTCCTGGCAATCTTGATTCCAGCTTGTGTTTCATCCAGTCCAGCATTTCACATGATGTACTCTCCATATAAGTTAAATAAGAAAGGTGACAATATACTTGTATATTGACATAAGCCTTGACATTTCCTTTCCCAATTTGGAACCAGTCCATTGTTCCATGTCCGGTTCTAACTATAAAAAATGTCAAATCTCAAGCCTTGACATGAGCACTAAAGTTACATCTTCACTGGTATAAGAAATTCTAAAATCAAAAATTAGAATAAAACCACCAGCATGTCCTGAGGAAGCAAATGTAAGAATTCTATTAGGGGAGCTTCCACAACTTCTGGCATACAAGAGAAAAAATTCTAATGAAGATATAAGCACAAAATAATAACAATTAATAAATTG